TACCATCCAGTTTTGGGGTCAGTACTGGATATCTGATCGAAATATCGGATATATGCACCCTTAGTTTATTTCTGTGCTCTTTTTCTGACCTGTAGTCCAAACATCAGAAAATACCAGACTGTGAATACCAAACATAATGCCAAATTTAGTATTCATGTTTTACCTGTTGTAGAACATCTAATGTGACAGGATAAAACATGTTGTCAATGATAATTCGCAGGACAGGGCTGGGGGGTGGAGTTAAGTCCAAAACTCCTGGGTCAGAGGACGGAGAGCTTCCATCCTGAACTGCTGACACTGCCTGCAGTACTGCCTGGGCCCTCTGAATGGAAAGAGAAAAGACACAACAATATAAGGTGATTTAAGATTAATTCATCGAGGACTGGGTGAAGGACAGTCTTTAGTGTACAAATACAAATAAATAAATCCATCTACCTGGTTAAGAGCAGAGTCTGTTTTCAGTTCCTTATGGTTGGAATACTGGATGAAGACTGGAGTATTTCTGACCTGAATACAATACAAATCCACATATTAGTTACTAAGAATTAAAGCAACAGCGGAAAACATTAATGCTTATAGAAAAGGTTGTACTTCAGACCTGTGGTGTGACAGCTGTGTAGTAGTTCACCATAGTTACAGCAGCTTCCTCTGTGCCCAACTCAAGAAAAGCCTGGAAAGGTACACCATGTTCAACTTTTGAAGAATGATAATGCTACAGTTGAGGTGACAAAAAATCCAGGAAAAAATTAACACAAATGGCTAATTTCACAGAGCATCAATAACACCAATGAAAGCCCCCGGGGAACAGACACAGTCTCACTGAATTTAATGAACTAGTAAGTCCACCTGTATTCATAACTGGCCAGACGCTCATTCAATATAGGAATGAATTTTTGGGGGGGAAATAAACTCTGCTCACCTTATGTTAGTAATGGCTTTCCGTGACTAAAATAATGTGAGAGCTTTTTTTTCTAAATTTGCTGTATTAGAATAGAATAGAATAGAATTCAACTTTATTGTCATTGCACATGCAAATATTAGCATATTTTGATAGAGAAACGTAACTGTTACAAGAGTACTCGCTAGGAAAGTTTTGTCCTTTCAACATTTGCTTTTGGGGGTAAAGTGATAACTAGTATCATCTTCTTTTGCAGTTTACAATGTAAAATCATCTATTTACAGTATTCAGTTCTTGGATTCTGACAAATCACACCACTGCTGTTGTGACACCTTTGGAATAAGGGAGCGGCTGAAAATAGCCTTTTTTCCTTGCATTAGGCCCAGTGCATAATAGTTAATTTCCCATTCTGTGTAAAAGTTGAATGTTTTATTTTCCATCCTAGCACTAGCCGAAGCGAGAATATTTCACTGTAGCTCACCTGGTTTTTCCCCTTTAGCATCAGTATATTGGTGACCTTTCCAAAGGGCAGCCCCAGAGCGATGACTTCAGTCTCTGACACCTCATTGGGAAGTTTTCTGATGTGGAGGACTCTGGAGGGAGGTGATTCGTCCAGGCGTTGTTTCTTACTGTCACTGCCATTCGCTGAATATGCACATAGAGACAAACATTAAGGATCAATAGCTTTTCATATCAAACCACACAGTTTGGGTCATGTTATTGGGCATACTTGTTCACTGACACATTTTCAAGGATCACTGTAACAAAGAAGTAAGAACAGAACTATTATGAACTTGTAATGTGAAATCATGACTTGACAGAGAAAAGAAATATTGGGAACCGTTAGCACTGAATTTATCTTTTAGGTCACGTATCATATGCACGTAAAACACTTTTTAAGGAGGTGCTTGTGGGTTCCATTCAAGCTACAACTGAACTCACCAGTCATAGAGTTGGGGCTGCTACCGTACATGTTGAGCTCATCTGAGCCTCTCTAGTAAAACAAGCAAAAAAAGAAAAAAAGTTAAAATTTCTATGTTCAACAAAATCTGAAAGGTATACAAAGAAAAATCTAAAAGATCATGTCAAACAGTCAGGGAATACATAATTGTTAAGAGTAGAGGGAAAAAAAACCAAAACTCAGCAATACAACTTACTTTCACACCAACCGCAACATCACTGCCAAAAACAAATGGGAAAAGAGATTAAGGATAAACTGCAAATCTCGTGAGCACTGAAACAATGTAATTGTTCTCATAATTAAAACCAAAATTGAAGTATTGCTTAGTAAAATTGGAAATGATTATGTTGCTGGTGAGAATTTAACTTGTGTTCATTTATTACCGTCGATACTTTGGAGCTCTGATGACTGCACAGATACAACTATCAATGCAGTCTGTAAAACAACTGATTTTCTTATTTCAGAGCTTTAAGTAGAAACTGTACCGTCTAGGCGAGTAACAAAAATGACAAAGTATATGTCGTTTTGGTGCCAATATTCCCTTAAATCATATTACTACTCGAAGAAAAACAATACAGATCACATTTGTTCTGTTTCAACACACCCACCAACTTTACAGCCTGCTTTGAATATGGCCATATTTACTAAACTGATATACGTTCCTCTTACACACCTTTCGTTTATCCATTTTCTTTCCAAATGTACAGTCCGAGCAGTATGAGCACCTGATACTGATGCTAAAGTGTTTTAAAACAAACCTAAATCCAAAAAACCGCCTTTATTTATTGCATTATTTTGCATATAGTTAACTGCACAAACTGTTGTGCGACGCACTCTCACAGTGAAATAATAATATATATATTTTTAAACCCTTAATGTACAATACCCCGACAGAGGTGAGTGTAGTATACATTATTCCAGACAAAGGAGCCTGCTTTCAGTTAATGCGCGAGCAGCACCAACTGTCAAGTCATGTCGGCTTTGACATGATTCATTAACGCCGGGTTAACTAATCGCTTATTAAAATTGTAATAACTGACAGTAATAGTCGCCAATGCCATGAAACCACTTACATTGATTCCACTGTTACCGGCAGCTTTGTTAATGTAGCAAGCAAACGTTCAATTTTATTTTACACACAAAACAATGCATTATTACGTCGAAACGCATAAGTGTCTTAATCTAACTAGGTTGTTAACACGAGGCATTACCATTACGTTAGAAAAAGACACATAAAACATACTGCTGAATAATGCTCCCCACACAATCAAGACATTTCAGTAATACATTTCGTGACGTTAGCTAGCTAACGTCGTGCACTTCGCTTTATACAGCTTCACGATTTGCAGGGGAGCTAACATTTAGCCTGTGTCAAACCGAGCAGGGGAAATGCTTTATTCTGAATACGGCCCACGCATAGCTGTGGAGGGCACACCCAAAAGCACCAGCTGCAACATAAATACATTTACCCGTCCATTGCAGCTCTTTGTCCTCTTCTGTCTGTTGATATTTCTGTACTCTTCGATGCGGACACTCTAAGCAAAATGGGCGTTCTTCTTCTTCTTCCTCTTCGTGTCTTTTAAGGGTGAACAACAGTAACATCAGGTGCTTTACTGCCAACCTTTGCTGAGGAGGGGAAAGGGAGATCGACTGTAGAATTTTAGAGGCTGCTTGAAGCTGGCTCCAAAAGCAAATGAATCTCTACAGACTCATATGCTTGAATTATATTTATGTTAAAATCCCTGCGTAGGATAAAACATCAAATCATGAGCAAATAATTTAATTTCACAGACACAGGTATTCATTCACTGCCACTTGCACACGGAACAACCCAGTCCTGTAGAAGTCTACAACATGCTTGTGAGAGTGTCTGCTTGGTGAGCACTGCAGCAGACTCCAGCTCTAACAGGCAGCTATGCTCTTAATGCTGAATTCCGGTGGTAAATTGGTGTAATTTTTGACAATGATATGAATATATGCCCCTGTGCACCTGCAAAAAGGCCCAGCACTGACCAGGTGTCAGAGGTGAGCATCGCCTTCACATCATAATCAGTCAGATCCTTTACAGTGGAATGGATAGGGATATAAATTACAGAAATGACTATGTCTGTTTGTGAAGCTACTTGTGGATCATATTGTACTGTGTTCTCTTGACAGACATAGCTCCTACTTTTTTGTCTTTCTGAACAGACAGACACAAGCATATATTAGGGATGTCTTTTTAAAAAAAACAAACAAACATCAGAACTAATAAATCTGCTATATATGGGATGATTTCTGAAAAATTACCAGAGCACAGCAGGATGATGAGGCGAACTGTTTGTTTTGTTTTGTTAAAAAGTAAAGCTGAAAGAAAAAGAGTGTGCTAGCAGGACATAGTGAAAAATAGTCAATTTCAGCTTCTAGGGTGAGATGAATTTCCCACGGACCACCAGAGTGGCAAGGTCAAAGACTCATAAAAAACATTTAAATGTGCAGATCTATAGCGAAGAACAAAAGCTTTTCTAAAATATCTAAAATGTATTTTATACAACCCCAGTTTCATGAAGTGAATGAAATCTTTTAAATGAATATTGTTCTTAGTTAGTCTAGTTAACGATCATGTTAAAATATTTTTTAAGGGTGATAAGGGACTAATATTAGTAAGAGAACAAAGCACATTTCCTAGTGCAAAAAAGAGGAAATCTAAAAAAAAAAAAGTGTTTCCAAAATAGTGATTTTTAGCTTCTTGAATTGATGAGGAAAAGGTGACAATGTTTTTCCTGAATTTAATGCTACATTTTAAAAAGAAACTAACCAAATACTCAAGGGAAATATTTTCAAACCATTTCAAAGGTTGTTTCAAAATGTTTCAGCAACAAAAAGCTTCCAGCCTAACTAAACTCAGCCACGGAATTCTTACCGTTCACAGAAATTAGAGGTAAAGTGTCTACTAACCTCAAACTTAGTATAATCTAACCAGCCCAGAATGTATGTTGTTTACATGCACTAGTGCAACTTTCATGAATATATATGAATATATAGGAACAATAATATTACCTAATATCAAAAACACAGCAAAGCTGTACTTAAATATTTGAATAGATATAATGTATGTTACATACATTATGTATTAGGATGATAAAATAACTTGACACAAAGTAATGGTTGCTTTTATTTTTATCATTTCACAACATTTTCCTGATAACACATGTATAACAGAATATTTTTATGTTGGTTAATTTTTTTACACAATCTCACAAATTTGTATAAAAATGTGCTCCATCTTACAGATATTTTCTCTATATCCAAAAATACAGACATTTGAAATCACAGAACTCATTTGACTTGAATTAATTTGACATTCTGTAAATGCCTTTTTAACATTGAAATGATTTTCTACAAGAGAATAAAAACAAAGTCAGATTCAGATTTACCAACTAAATCAGAGTGGAATTATTGACATACACTTACTATATATACTATACAATTATTGTGATGTTATCTGCCTCTCTGCTCAGTGGTGCCACTGGAGCTGGGCTTTCAAACTAAGATTATACTTCACACAAATTAATTTACTGTATAAGACAATCCAGTTGGATGTCTTTGTTTTATTATTATCCTCGCCTTTAGCAGACAGGACTAATAGGTACACCTCTGTTGGGTTTGTAGGCTGTTTTCCTTTTGACCATCTTGATGCAGTCTATGATGGGACAGACACTGAGGCACAAAGTGCAGCCAGTGCAGCTGTCAGTCACGGATGGAAGATGAGTTTCAGGGTCGAATGTTATAGCCTTGAAATAAGAGTCACATTATGGGACTGAAGCAGATACATCTCTTGAAAAACAAGAAAGTGATGACTGTCTGGATATAGTAGAAAAACATACCTGGTATCCAGAGTCATTGCAGGTCATGTAACATTTCCCACAGTTGATACACATCTCTTCATCTATAAGAGCCTGGACCTGAGAGCACAGGGAAAGGCCGTTGTTGTTGTGATTTTGATAAATGATATTTTACTGCTATCTGTGATCATGAGAAGAAAACCTGATTTAGAAAATAAAAATTGATTACACATGTGGTGCAATGTCCTTTTGTTCATTTATCTTTTCCTATAAATCACTACAATGGTCCGAATATTACCTGGTTAGAGTGAATGAATGAGAACTGTATACCTGCTCCATGTTGTTAAGTTCCTGGTATGCTCCAATGTGGCGCAGTGCTCTGGCTATCACGTCCTATAACACAACCCGTCACCACACACATACATAAAAAACACATTTATGGTTAAAAACCAAATGCAGTGTCAGGGGCTGGGTCTGTGAGCCAGCCTTTCATTCGGCTTTTGATCTCTTTTGTTGTATTTTGAAGATAATGTTAAGTTCTAGGTTCATTATTTAGTTGCCTCAAGTTTAATCTAGTTATGTTTCACTTACGTCTTCTGGTTAGTCTCATGTATTTCTTGTCTGTGATTTCAGGTTGTCAAGTTTGTATTGTCATGTTTGCATCTCATGTTTCCTGTTTTATTTTGAAGAGGTCTTGTGTTTCTATGTTCATTGTGTTTCATTTTACTCTTCCACTGTGAAGTCGTTATGCTCATTTGTGTCAGCTGTTTCCCTGCCTGAGTGTCTGTTACCTTACCTTGTTTCCATGTCAAGCTTATGAACTGCCAGGTTTCTATGTTCCAGGGTTTTGTTATGTTTAGCTCACCCGGTTTAGATCATGATTTAGTTCTGCTCTTTGCTTTATAAGTCCAGGGTTATTCTTCAGTTAATATTAAGTTTTGTTATTTTGCGTGTCTACACTTGGGTCCACCTTCTTCACTCCTTACAGTCTCAGCCCGACTGTGACATATAGCTTTATTGAACTCAACGTGCAGCACGTATGTATGCGTATGGACCTTGACTGGAGGAACAGGCTTCTGGGGCACGTTGATCCGGCTGACGTTGGATTCCACCACATTGGTTTCACCAGCATCTCGGAGTTGTTTCTTGCATGCAGCAATGGCTTCCGTCTTCTCCTGAAGGTATGGACCAAAGCTAGGGAGACTCTAAACACATGCACATTGACCAATAAGAGGTGACAAATGGTTATTAGACAAATAACCATTTAATGTGAAAAAGAACAGGCATCTTCTTTTGATTCAAGGTTTCAAATGTTAGGACGTAATAGAAATAATCTGGACTCTAGCATGTTTTAAAATTGGTTTAATACAACCTAAGGAAAATAACAACACATTACCCAGGTTCAGTACTTATTTAACAAAAGTTTAACTGGGAGCAGAAGCAAAACTAATTGCACTCTTACTGCTTCCTCAGGAATTAAGAGAGTAAGTACCAGTGTGGCAATGATAATAAGATGCAGCTGGTTAACTCATTGTCATCAGCAAACACGAGTACCTCTACTAGCAGCTAGCAGATGGTTTTGGCAGTTTGCTGGCCTGAAGCATTCAGGTGTGGGTTGATATAAGGCCAAGAAAGACCAAAAAGTTACTATAGCTGTTGTAGTTGTACCTTTCCAACCAGGCTTTCGAGTCTGGGAACTGGTTTTCCCTTCTGATGGCTCGCTGTTGGAGGTGACTGACCATCCCAGTCCTTTAGCTCTAGGCTCTTTAGGTACAGCAAGGCCTTCAGACCTAAACATGTGTAATGTCACAATAATACAAAAGTAAATATTTTGAAGCTCTAAAAACGTAAATGAATGCCTGTAAAGCTCAGCCAAAAAGCAGTTGCGTACCCACACAGTAATCCTCAATCAATGTGAAGTCCTGGTTCTGAACTGCACTACACACCTGTGGTATCCCGACAGAATGAGACAGCTGATCTAAGTGACTGGTCTGTGATCAACTTTTATTCAATGGCAAAACCTGTTACAGTAAATTGGTTATCACCTGTAACAGGGAAGCCCCAGCATGAAGAAACTGTAGTCCGCTCTCTGCTGAGTCAATACCCCCGGTGGCCAGAATAGGAAAACCTGGAATTGCTCTGGCGATGGCTGACACTGCTCTGAGAGTAATGGGCCTGATGGCATTACCTGAACACACCATTAATGTGATAAATAAGTTTATTCAGCACTGCACTATACTTTACCGTGTGTGCACTTACCAGAGATCCCTCCGTATGTGGTGCGTTTTTCCAAACCAACACTTGGCCAGGGAGCGCCATCAGCTTTGAGTCCCATTAAACCTGAGACCGTGTTGGTGGCTGTGACTCCATCCGCTCCACCTATAACACAGCACAACATTTACAGACTTGTTAACAGGCATCTGCTAATCATTCGCTACATTGTGGATTAGTACTGAGCAATGTAAAATGACACTGAATGAAAAGGTGAAGTGTGGTTACCTTCATGGGCTGCCTTGGCAATGTCAACAATATTTGTAACATTTGGTGTCAGTTTAGCAAAGAATGGAATGGAAATGGCCTCACGCACCCAGCGACAGATGTTCCTTACCAGCACTGGGTCCTGATGACACAAATGAATAAATGGTTACACCTTTACACTTAATTGTTCTTACATCCATTTCCTCCCTTGTATATTTGGGTGTTTTGTTTTTTTTTTGGTTTTTTTTTTGTTTGTTTTTTTTTTTGGGGGGGTGTTTTTTGCTTTTTCTCAGTTGGGTGCGTACCTGTCCACAGGCCAGACCCATGCCTCTCTCTCCCATCCCATGAGGACAAGAGAGGTTCAGCTCCAAAGCATCTGCTCCCGACTCCTAAACACATACATTCGTTATTTTTACAATTAAATCATCATTAGACTACATATTCTGTAAAAATGTTTATGATTATAATGGTATATTGTTTTTATCACCTCAGCCATCTTGGCTAGCTCTGTCCAGTCTTCCTCGTTGTAACCACACATTATACTAGAAATCACCACCTGATGGACACAGAGGGATTTTTTTTTTTTGATTTTAAACATCACACATTTTAGAATTATTTTAGAACTTTCTACTTCAAACTTGGGTGAATTTTGGTACAGTGGTGCAAATGGACACTGCTAGAGAACACGCACTAAAGACATGAAATGTCTGGTAAAGCACATGTGATGGAATGAAGCTCATGGAAAAAAAAAAATCAAAGTAAGAAATATGTAATATGGTACAGAAACAATCCAGAAAAGTAAATGTATATTAATTATTTAACGCAACAACACGCTTATCACCAAGGAAAGGTATGATGTAATATCAAACTTACGTTGTTGGGGAAGTCTTTTTTCAGCTCGGCAACCGACTGACACCAGTAGGCTGCTGTCTTCTCGCTGATGAGCTCAATGTTGAGGAAGGAGCCCAGACCGGGCCCATAAAGAGGGCCTGATGTTGTACCACGCACAATTCGAGGAGACACATTGGTCACCAGATCCTAAAGACACAGATTTATAGAGCCCATTCATGAGGTTAACTTCTTTTTTTGGGGTCCTTAAAGTGAAACTTGCTAGACACAACAAAGCTTTCGTGTTTTTCTTTCTGAAGCTTTTACTTGTGTTCATCTGGTAAAGAATCCTAAACAAATCCCTTTTTTTCCTCGATTTTTTTGTATGCTCACAATTTCCTGAGGAATAAATCTGAGGTTACATAATAAATTGGTATGGGAAAAATATAAAAATGCAAAAACAGCAAAGGTCTGCAAGGAGGAAATATTGATATGTTACAATGATTTACTGTAAGGTATCGTAAAATACATGTTCGGGTGAATAAATCTCTTTAATGCCTGCAAGTATAGTCGTTCTAGTGACTGGTGGTTTGGTACATTGTTTGCATGTGTGGCACCTTATCCAGTCCAAATGTCTTAGTCAGAGCGAAGCCCCATCCTTGTTCAAAAGCTCTTCTGATCATGGCTGTGCTAGTGGTAGGAGGAGCAGAGGCCAGGCCGAACGGATTTGGAAATTTTATTCCACAAACTTCAATGCTGATGTCCACCTGGTCTATAGCACTGTAGAACAATGGCAACTTTGGAACTGGGTCTACTGTTTGTCCATGAAGAGACTATACAAGTAAAAGAGAAGGGATAAATATTTTTGGTAACATTATTGGTATGATATTTTGTGTATTATGCATGAGGTACAAAAATTGTACATGGACACTAAACAAACCATTAATAGGCACAAGTTCAGTAAGGAAGATCTGCAGTCATTCATATGCTTGCTCTCCTAGATGTTCACTATAACCTTCCCATGCTGTCAAACTCAGTGCTGTCATCACTATACTAGCCCAGTCACCTTTTTGATTGGATCAAAGAAGGCAAAGCCTCCATTCTGACTGGTTTAAAATCTGTGCTTTTCCATCGGATTCTCATTCATGCAACCAACCATCTCCATCTCGCCCCATCCAAGCTTCCATCTCAATCTTCAACACCATCAGTGCCTATGTTTTGGGGTTTCCTGTTCTAAATCCTATCGCTACTGGGATTCTTTTCTGTGATAACGGGTCATTGGAGTCTAATTCATTTTTCCATCTTGGTAAATCTTGTTCGGTTCTTCCAAATGATCTCTCCTTATCGAACTCATTGGTGTTTAGAGTCTTAGCAGACTTACCTGTATGTATCTGTGAATATGCCACGAGGCTTGTTTGCCATCATTCACTGACTCCACTGTGGTGTTTGCCAAACCAGCGACGTCTCCTCCAGCAAAAACCCAGGGCTCACTGGTCTGCATGGTGCCTGTGTTCACCTCTGGGGTACCCCAGCGACTCAGCTTCACAGGCGTCATGGCCTCAGTCACTACAAGCACCCAGCATATCAGTCAGTTTCATGCTCTGCCTCAGTCTAAACATCACCTGCAAACTTTCAAACCATTACAGATTTAATTTTGTTATGTTGTTTTGGGCTGCTGGTACTCCAGGTCTTTTTAACTGATGATTTTCAGAGAAATGTGTTTTTGTGTGTCAAGCCTCTGAACATTGACCAAACATTAAAAGGTTCCTTACTCAAAAGATGAACTAGTGTTGTCTACACCTAACAGAGAACAACGTTTTTGCGCTGTATTTAAATTACAGGTTTTGCACCTATTTCCCATGTTAAGAAACTGGGAGTTGGTCAAGAGACTTGCTCAGTAATGTATATTTGAAAGAAAAAAAAGTAAAATTAAAAAAGACAAACCAGCACTCGGAAAGTTTTACAATTACATCTGGATTTGTCATTACTTCTTCTAGTTAAAGGTGAAGCAAAAAGTTGGGTAATGTGTTGCGCAGCTGATTACTCATTACCTTTTGGCTCATTCAACATGGATCCAAAAGCACTGATTATGTAATCAGCCTTCAGTCTGACAATTTGTTCCTCGTCTTCAACCCAGTCACCTTCCTCAGTCTGCTCAGTGCGACAGAACTGTAACCCAGCAACATGCCCATTCTTCATAATGACCTCACGGGGAGACAGAAAAGGAAGGAACTCACACTGCTCCTCTTTAGCCAACTCCATCTGAGAGGAAAAAACGTCATACATATCAGTACACTCATCTGGTGATCTGTCTGTATACTGCGTCAGTTGATCCATCTGCCTCTCATCAGCACCTCCTCAGGAACAGCTCTAATGTTGGTGAATCCCCTCCTGAAGCAGACATACACTCTTTTGGCTCCACACCGAAGGGCTGAGGTGGCACAGTCAAATGCAGTGTCACCGGCCCCCAAAACTATCACCACTCCCTTTAGTTCTGGCAGAGAGGAGCGACACTGACACATACCTAGGCAACGCGACAGAGAGCCCAAAATGTAAAAAACCATGTCACCAGCAAAAGTACTGTATGAATGAATGAGTATGTGCGGATACACTAACACATGAAAAGTTACGGGCTGATCAAAGGCTGTGAAGTGATGCTATTGTCGTATGTTTGGGATCGTGACTTCATATAAATAATGTGTATATTGTGACTTTGTTACTGCACATGTGATCTATAATCCTGTGGACTGGTAGAGGAACAAAAATTAAGTGGTACCTTTCTTGCTGGCAGAGGCCACCATGGGCAGAAAGTCCTTAGAAGTGAAGAATCCTTGATCCACAGTTAAACCCTTGAAGATTTCAGCTCTGTTGGCCTGTGGGAGACCTGGTGTCACACACACATTCACAGACACATGCAAACAGGACTTGATGAGGACTTAAAATGCATGCAGAAAAACAAATTTGATGGTTGATGTAATTCAGCAGTTTATTATAACTTTTTACAAATGTGCATAATATCCAGACACATCCAGATTCCAGATGAATTTACAGGGAACTAAACTGGAATCTATTCATAATGGTTGTCAAGTGAAACTCACCAATCCCTATGAAGACAGCCTTAAATCCATCTTCCTTCAGGGACTTCAGAGTCATTCCATTAACACCCAAGCCCTTCTCACACACCACCTGTAGACGCCACAGAAACAAAATGTTTTAACTGAACTGTTGACTCATGTAAAGAGATTCGACTAATATAATGGATGCTACAAATACTATTTTGAAAATACGTGCCACATTTCATACCTTCACTCCCAGGTCCTTCATCAGGTTTATTTCAAACTGGACGACCTCATATGGAAGCCGGAATTGAGGGATTTCTGACGTGCTGCATAGAAGAACATATCTCTTTGAATGATTTTTGTCTCCCCAATGCTATCATGTTGGTATTGTGTCTTTCAACTGTCGACGTGCCAGCTTCTCTCTCTAATTTGCAGACATATTAAAAAAGGTTTACCCATGTCTCAATGTGCAATTCTAAAATTCTTTTTAAAAAGACTGAACCTTTACTTCCCAAGTAACTAACAATACAATATAAAACAGCTTGAGGGAAATGAACACTGTCATATAATATTTTATATAATAATAATGTTAAGATACCTCAGCCCTCCTGTGTACTTCTGTTTTTCAAATATTGTGATATTATCATATCCCAGACGGGCCAGGAAAGAAGCACAACTAATTGATGCTGGGCCACAGCCAATCAGAGCTATAGGGGTGTGGTAAGACTCTGGCAGCTCATTGAATGGTGGGAGTTTGGGGTTTCTTATCTGAGGGATGCCCATTTTACTAAACACCTGTAAAGAAACACATACACAAATGCACATGCCAAGAATAGTCTTTAATACACTACTTTTACATCATGGCTGATGTTAAATCAATATAATTGATTAGAAATGTGTTTTCTGAAAACTGTCGTACCTCAATAGCAAACTGCTGTAACCCTCCAATGTTAATGGGTCCTTCTTCAGAAGCATACAGGTTGCAGCCCCCTACACACAGCTCCGATGTGGGACAAACCATTCCGCAGGTCAAACCCAGAGGGTTGTCAGATAGAATGGCACGCGCTGCCCCATAGTAGTTCTGTTACACAAATACACACACTTGACATCAGAGTACTGCTATCTGGTATTACTTTGAATATCTGAAGACATAAGGCTATGTGAAGACAGGATCGGGGACCCAGAATGCAGACTCTCATATGGACCTTAACTCAAAAACACAGCTTTATTATTGAACTTATGAAATACAAAACCAAACTGGAAACTAAACACACAGGCAGAACACACAGCCAGGAATGAGGGAGATGCAGACAATATATACACACACGAGGGAATCAGGACAAAGAGGAATAACCTGGCGAAGACAGCTGGACATAATCTAACTGACGAGACAGAGGACAAAACTGCACATGCTACACACAGGGCAGGAGACTATCAAAGTCAAAAAGGAAGTACGAGAACATACACACACTGACTGACTAAATGCAGGGAACAGAGGGAGTGAGAGAAACAGAGGCACGACTGGGGAACATGCGAATAAGTGTGGAGACAGAGATAAGACAACATAAACTAGACAAGAAACCAAGATGACTTAGGAATACAAATAAGTAAGAGTAACCAAACAAAGAACAGAATCTCAACCTCAGACTATAAAATAAACCAAAACTAAAAGTCCAAAACAGGAAACGCTGGGTACAAGACTCGGGATCATGACAGAAAGAGTGCAGAGTGGATTCTACCTTATTGGAGATACTCGTAATGAATGACTTGATGTCCAGATTAGTTGGGCAGCTCTTCTGACAGGGAGCATCAGCACATTTTAGACATCTAAACACAAATTTTTCATTTGTTTCTGCAGCTTAACCAAGTAAGATTTCTAAAAAATAAAAATTGCATGCAAACAGTTTGGAGGATTTTTGTTATTTTAGACAAAAAACACAGTTTGTAGTGCTGTAATGTCTAATATTATAATGGATACATTTAAGATAATACTTTTCATGTACAGTGTCTTAGTTTAATGTGCCAGTACGTCACTATCACGATTTCGTCTCATAAATAAAATTTACATTTTGTTCATTTTGTTCATTTTGTACATTTTGTCATGATGGTGTAGCTAACTGAAAAAATAAAGAAAGTCCTGGAAAAAAAAACTTTCTTTTGACATGGATTATTATTATAGTGTGTGTACAAATGTCATGGCTATTCAATTAACAGTTGGATTCATCCAACTGCACTGCTGCCCTTTTTCTCTAATGGTGATAAAAAAAAAAGTACATGTGTGGAACTGGCCTGACAATGATCAGAGTACTCTTCTTTAGCCTGCATTTGTTGTGACCATCTGAAATTTGGTATCTTTTTTAACATAAGTTGAATGTAAATCATATTTGGGACATATGCTATATTAAAAACAAATAACTAAAGTAGCCTCTTCATTAATCTTCACCTGAGAGCTTCTCGTAGTGCTCCTCGCTCGCTCAGTGTTGTATGCTTGATGTCGTCAAAGTTGTTTTCTAACTTCACACAAGACTGGAAAAAAGAGTGAAGAAGATGAATGATATTCCAAGCATTAAATTATGCAAATGCTCTAATTTGACTAAAGATACTCTTTTAATTGAAGCTACGTCTTGTTTGTGTATTTTTCTTACACCGCAGTTCCTTTCAGGGTTCCTCTTCCAGTGTTTCTTTTCTTTCTTCTTACTGGCTGTGGATATGATCTGAGCATGATGCTTCACCCTTGGATTCAGAGCTAGGATGCTCTGAAAAGAAAAAGACACAGGATTGGATTCTTAGACTGCACGTCCTAATAAACATGAGTAGAATCTTCTTTTATTTTCCAGAGACTTTGTTTTAGCATTTCAAGTGGCTCCACAGTATAGTGGTTCACATTTTTGCTTTACATATAAAGGAATGATCCAGGAAAAGCATCCAGTGTGTTTGTTTTTATAAAGTGGTATGGTTGCAGAGGGAACTAGATAATTATATTCAGAGAAGTCTTATGCCACAACCCCAAATTCCAAAAAAATTGGGGCACAAACCCATCCATATTTTCTTCACAATAAAACATATTTCTAACCTTTTATTATTTCATGAAATATATTTTTTCATATTTAATAATAATAATCCATCCATTTTCTTCTGCTTATATGGGGTCAGGTTGCTGGGACAGCAGCCTAAGCAGAGAAGCCCAGTCTGTAGCAAACTACCTAATCTAGCTTTTCCAGGTAGCACAGAGGCTTCCTAGGCCAGCTGAGAGATAAACCTCTACCGAGTGTCCTGGATCTGCCCCAGGGCCTCCTCTTGGTTGGACATGCCCAGAACACCTCACCCACAAGGCATCCTTGTCAGATGCCCAGACCACCTCAAAGGCTCCTTTATACAATTATAATTATTATCATAATTAAGTTAACAAAAGACAACAAAGGCAACAAAAGACTGGAAAAGTAAGTGGTCTTAGAAAGAAACAGCTGGAAAAATACTTTGCAACTAACTAGGATAACTGGTCAAAGGTCAGCAATATGATTGAATATAAAAAGAGCATCTTAAACAGGCACAGTTTCTCCACAGAAAGTGTTTTATTTTCTGAGCTATTTCCCCTCAGTGCGTCTATATAGTGCTGGCTTCCTCTTATTCCTTGTCAGTCTCTATTTTCTTGTAAATGGTAATATCCCTTTCCTACTCTCTCAGAGTACTCTATACAACATGCCACATTCACCCATTCTCACAAGCACTTTATCTATACTTAGTGCTATCTAACTACATTCACACACATTCTCCGATGGACGCATCAGAGAGCAACTTGGGGTTAGTACCTTACCCAAGGATACTTGACATGCAGACTGGAGGAGCCAAGAATCGAACCACCAAACTTCCGATCAGTAGGTGACCTGCTCTACCTCCTGAGCTACAGCCACCCTTGTGTTTCCTCATTCCAGGTTCCTGTTGTTATAGTTTGCAATTCCCTTTTAGACATTAAGTTTTGTTTGCTGGACTTTTTACAGCCTAATAAAATGGCTTACTTTCTTCTGATTCCTACCTGCTTCTGTGTCTGCATTTTGGGTCCTCAACTTCACACTGCACAGTCTGCATAATATGCAGACCGCAACAACATAATTTTTCTTTACAGCACATTTGCTGAGATTTGCCGACAAGAACATTGAAACTGTGGAACATTCTAGGAAGTCTGGCTGTTTTCATGGTCGAGGTCAAGATGATAAGATAATGGTGAGGTGCCAGGTCGATGCACTGAGCCAATGTCACGTGTTGCATTCATATATAACAGTAGAAATCGAGAAATTAAGCTTGTCGCACACTGACACCTTGTTACATGGGGGAATACTGAATAGTATTTTATTCATGTAAATTCTGCCATTAAAGAATATTATCACTGAATGTATTAATCCAACCTGACCTTGACTATTTGAACATCAGTGGCTAATGATCTATTGAACTGGTCTTAGCATATCAACGCCATCATTAGTTTCCAAAAATATGGGACATTTTATAAAATTTTGATTAAAAAAAATCAGTTCATTGTAGTCTATACTTGATTGGAAGTACAGTGATAACACATCAAATCATTCAAAAATGTAATAATTTAATAATTTATTTGATTTTAAAATCAAACAATTTGGAGAGGGCTTTGCATGAGACTAACTAAAAGTACTACTAAAAATATTTTCTACCTCTATGGAGCTAAAACCTGAGAAAATCCAGCTAGTCAACAGTTCACCCAGAATAATTTACTACAGAGGCATCCAGCAATTAACACAAAATATGTTTTGGCATTGCCTTGCTGGGATAAGTAAGCCTGTTGCCTGTCTATCATTTAGCATCAAAGATGACTTGACAGGAGTGTTATCCATGTGGACTAACACATTCGGCTATGGGAACAGGTGTCCATGACATCCATGATTTGTGTGTCTATCTATCCCTCTATCTATCTCTCTCTCTCTATGTATATATATACAGCTTTCTTTTCTTGACATAAAGACAAGAAAGCTCCTTACCATGCATGGAGGGTTTCACCCCAAGTCCAGCACCCTCAGGCTGTACGCTAAGCGGAAGGAAGGGGGCCGGGGACTGGTGAGTGTCAGCACCACAGTCCAGGATGAGACAAGGAACATCCACGAATACATCACGAAGATGGCCCCAACTGACAGCGTGCTCAGTGAATACCTCAGGCAGCAGAAACCCAAGAAAGTGGAGGAAGGCGAGGAACCATCATGGAAGGACAGGCCCCTGCACGGTATGTACCATCGGCAGATAGAGGAGGTGGCTGATATCCAGAAATCCTACCAGTGGCTGGACAAAGCTGGACTGAAAGACAGCACGGAAGCACTAATCATAGCAGCACAGGAACAAGCACTAAGCACAAGATCCATAGAGGCTGGGGTCTATCACACCAGGCAAGACCCCAGGTGCAGGCTGTGTAAAGATGCCCCAGAGACAATCCAGTACATAACAGCAGGGTGCAAGATGCTAGCAGGCAAGGCATACATGGAACGCCATAACCAAGTGGCCGGCATAGTGTACAGGAACATCTGTGCCGAGTATAATCTGGAAGTCCCGAGGTCAAAATGGGAGATGCCCCCAAGGGTGGTGGAGAATGACCGAGCTAAGATCCTGTGGGACTTCCAGATACAGACGGACAAAATGGTGGTGGCTAACCAACCGGACATAGTGGTGGTAGACAAACAGAAGAAGACGGCCGTAGTGATCGATGTAGCGGTTCCGAATGACAGCAATATCAGGAAGAAGGAACACAAGAAGCTTGAGAAATACCAAGGGCTCAGAGAAGAGCTCGAGAGGATGTGGAGAGTGAAGGTAACGGTGGTCCTCGTGGTAATCGGAGCACTAGGTGCGGTGACTCCCAAGCTAGGCGAGTGGCTCCAGGAGATCCCGGGAACAACATCGGAGATCTCTGTCCAGAAGAGCGCAGTCCTAGGAACAGCTAAGATACTGCGCAGGACCCTCAAGCTCCCAGGCCTCTGGTAGAGGACCCGAGCTTGAAGGATAAACCGCCCGCAGGGGCGAGTCTGGAATTTTTTTCTTTTTTATAGATAGATAGATAGATAGATAGATAGATAGATAGATAGATAGATAGATAGATAGATAGATACACACATACATACATATGCACACTGACATCTCCAGTTTGACCCTGTGTCAGTTATCTATAGGTTGTACAATCAAACACATGGCTTGTTACATAATACCAGGCGATCATGTTCAGACTGCATCGTGTGGCATTTTACCCACTAAATCCTCACCGTTGCAACACGTTACAGTGATTAGCCAATGTATAGGTCTGTCGTATATCTCTGATAACTCTACTGGTCTCTACTTGGTGCACCCAAGAGGACTTTTAAAAGAGTAAAAATCAGGTGACTCAGTAGATTCCTTTAAAAAGCATTTAGACACCCATGTTCTCAGGCACTTTGACAGTGCCTTTCCCCCCCTATTTATCTGTTTTGTGTTTGTAGAAGCGGTTTTATTTCATTAAAAAACATTTTTATTTTATAAAACATTTTATTTTCATGTCACTTTGACATGTATTATTCTGCCACAAGGCAGAGAACACATCAGTGTGCGACATGCAGAAACTGTGGGTGGCTCAGTGAAGCCAATTTCTAAATTAGTAAGATGTGTTTTTACTTTGTCCCAAAAACTCTGGATACTTTCATTTCTATTTCAGTATCATCTAAATCACACCAGGGCACTTCTCACACTAAAGTCAATACTTTACATTAGTAAAAAGAGTAACCCAATGAATCTCCATCGTGTGACTTTGCGGTCAAGCTTGCTTCTTATAGAAAGAAACGTCTCACCCTGTGGGCAGCCGAATGTTGAATTATACACAGGCCTTTTCTAAAGACACTCACAGTAAGGGAAGTACTGTTTGTGCTGAGAAACTGATGGACTCAAAGGATATGCAGTGCCCTGTGCATGGCGGAAGTCCATTTGAAAACTGTGATATGCCTGCAAGTCTGATGAAACTGTATATGAACAGATGATTGTGACTGACTTACTGTTATTCCAGGATCACAGCTGTATGTATAGTTTCAATTTTTTCTTGTGAAATGGTCATAATTAGAGGCCAGTCATGTGCAAATTAGCCTGCTGTTAAGCTTCTAGATTAGTGGAGAATAATCTTTAAATCCCCATCTGTACTCATAAAAATTCTATGGACACAATTAGAATGACTTTATTTTACTATGGCATGGAAAACATTTTATTATCATTTGTTATCCACACAACACTTGTATATGTGTTGCTAGAGAATGCTATACATTGCATTTTCCACTTATATATCATATGAGAATATCCTGCTATAACATATAACACAGCAAATTTACCTCAATGTCTGGAAGATCTTTACTCAACATGGTGCTTCAGCCCAGCTTCCGGAATAAAAGCTTTTAAAAGGTTGAAAATTATCCTCTGCAGATTGTGGTTGGTGTTGTGGTTTAGAGGTCCGAAGCACTGTCCGGGACTACTCTGCTCACAAGTGGAACTATATGAGCTTACGACCGCGTCACCCCTCTTAACAAAAATTTTAGACAGACAGTTTGAAGGCATCAAACGTCATACTTTCTCCTGCCAACCTGTTGATGAGGTGAACACACAGGCAGAGCTCTTATCACTCATATGAGGGTTAAGGTTCAGCTTACAAGCTCGGCTGCAGCTAGCAGATTCTGGGTTCACTGCACCCGAGTTTGTAAGCTAGACAGTGACCACGGCAAAGTTCAAACTCCACCTCTAAGAGGGGAGTGGACCTCTGCATATTTTTCCTCTTCTATCTGGTAAACAGTTCTGTGTTAACCCTTTTTTGTCTCAAGGACTCTATTCTTTTCTTCTACTTTGCGGGCGCTTCCTTCTCCATACAGAGGAGAGATCAGCTATTCAAGACAGCCAGAACTTGACTGATCAAGCAACTAGATATCAGCAAGTTCTCCTGTAGCAATATAACTGATTCTTCCTCCATAGTCTCTACTGGTTTAGATGTAACACAGTTTAGCGCCATCTTCTGACAGTAAGGAACATGATTGTCATGTGGTTGGTTAGTTAATAGACTTACATTAGTTTATGTTAGCTAACTAGTGACAGAATCGATAACGAGAGAAAAATAAGGACACTAAAACTAAAGCTCACTTTAAGGGGATCACATTTGTGCTGCCCCTGGCCGCAACACCGAGTTTTATGTTAAGAAACAGAGGATATACTGTCCACTTTCACTGTCTGTCTCTTTTGAGTACTGTGTGGAGGAGAGCCACCACAGCGGCAAGCTGGACTCCAACACTTACAGAAGATGGCGCTAAACATGTTTCACTTATTTCTTAAATCCAGCTTAACAGACAGTGTTACATCTATTTCAGTTTTTGAGAGCAGGCCTCAATGGTGTAAATTAGCCTTTATACATCTAGCGCTTTATGTGCTCTTTGACACAGCCAAGGACACTAACCACAGGCTGTGATTTCACGTGGCAAACTCAACCTCCTTATTGAAGAGGAATTCTGCTCATTTCTGGTGCTTTATACATAGCTTTTATTCCAAATTAATTATTATTATTTAATTTTAAATGCACAGTGGAGCTAAACAGGAAAGCTAGGAGAAGGAACACGGGGGAGGCAGTAAAAACCTGGGCATATGGAATAACAGAGCACGTGTCACCTGTTCATACCCAGTGAGCTAAACCAGCCCCCCCCCGATTTTTATTTTTGTACTAATAGAGTGTATGTGTACAATTCAGAGTTCAAAACGATCCTTTGTCTTATACTGGGCCTCGGTGCGCTCCCTCAGTTCATTTTATGTATGAAACAAGTTGCTATATCTAGCTAGACTAGCTTATGTTCCCTGAAGGTGGTTGTGTGTCTCCTGTAGCATTGTACAGATAGCTTAAATCCCCAGGACGCTATTTTCAGTTGGGGATTTTTTATTTTTTAAATAACTGTAGTCAGCCCTATTTGTTATCTTCTGATTCAACCAAGATCCACTTGGCAGAAAAGATCAAAACAAAACACTATTTCTTTATTTCATTTTCCTCAAATGTCATTGAGATACAGCATCGAGGCGGCAGTAGCAAGTAAGGCAACAGCTGTAGCCATGGCAACACCTAAACAACAAAAAGGAGGACAGTCAGGACAGAGTACACAAGCATGCATGTCCTTTAAAAAAAAAAAAAAAATATATATAATATAGTACTATATTTTTTTTTTTCTTTTCCGATAGTTAATCATTATCAAAGCACTACACAATAGACTTTAGTTATTTGAATACTGAGCCCTAACAGAAGACGATTGGATGATACAAAAAAAAATAATAGGCAAATGTAGTATTCGTCTTGCTAACACAATTTATTAAATGTAGATGAGAGGTCTTTACCAATGTAGTTTTTCTTGTGCTCTGGCGCCTCGACTTTTTCTTGAGTGGGCTCTGAAAACATACAACACACATTTGGATCAGCTAGGTTAACATCCCTCATCACCAACTCCTGCTTGATTATTGTGAAAATGGCGTAACTAAAGTACCATCAGTGTGCACATACAGATGTTCACTTGATTTAACGGTTAGAATTTGTTAGTGTCATAAAATGTTGCAGCTAGGGAGTAAGTTTGTGAAGTCAGGATGATTTCATTAAGTAACTTGTTAATTATTTGTTGTTTCAGTTTAACTTTGTGATGGGAATTTTCAACAGACATCATTATTAATATAAACTGTAAACTGATAGTTATCATCGCACCACTGTTAACAACAAAAATAAACATTAATTGTTGTATTACTGAGGCTGAGGCTTTGAGGAGGTTGCTGACTCTATCACCAAATGATGACAGAGATGGGATACTGAGATTTTCCCAACCCAGGAAATTCCATTGAAGTGAACTTTTTTTTATACCCATCCATTAGATGGATGAGCTACGATGGTTTTTAATTTGTTTTAATATACATCTGACCTCACATCTGCAGTTTGGCATGTGTTCTCTGCAGCAGCACGTCACAATTACATATTTTGCATTCATATAGTAATGGCACTAAGATTTGGTCTGGAGGTAGGTGGAGCAGGTCATCTAGTAATCAGAAGGTTGGTGGTTCGATCCTGATGTGTGTGTGTTAGATAGAAAGCACTTAAGCATAGGGATAAAAAGTGCTTGTATGAATGGGTGAATGACGCATGTTGTAGTGTTTTTTTTGTGCTCCAGGTGAGTAGAAAAGCGCTATATAAAAAAAATGTGTCCATTTACCATTTAAACAATACCGTGACAACAAAAGGAGAAAGTGAAAACTGATACCCAAACTAGAAATTAGGTTTTGGTGTGAAAATACTACTTTACAAACACAAACTCTGTGCCCACCTGGTGTAATATCACACCCTGTGATTTCAAAAGTCATTTCCTGTCTGGTATCCAAGTCTTCCTCAGCTGCATCAATGTCCAGCATCTCCTTCAACCGCTCAGTCACCTCAGATAAACCCTCATCACTGAACTGGTAGTCACACACACAGAGTGGCCCGCTGACTTTTAGTGGACAAAAGATACGATGGGGGAGGCAGAACAGCTCTGAAGGACAGACAGAGAAGCGCAGGTACAGTAACTAATATTGAGAGGTCGTTGATTTTAACATCTCTTCTAATGGTGCTCATCTATTAAGACACGACAGTAAGGTTATTCACTTCTAACTTTCATTCATTCTTTTTTTTTTTTTTTGCCTGTCCCATTTGGTTCTTTAGCCGTCAGAATTGTTGTCTGAAGACCAACAAGGATACCCAGTGGATTTATTTTGCCAAATGGATCATCGTGGCATTGCCGTATTGGTCCATTTGATCGACCTTTGTTTTTATTGTTTATTATATTTTATTTTCAGATGTTACAGATGGGACAGACATGAGTGAGGGATAGGAAAGGGAGAAAGAAAGAGGAAGGAAAAGAAAAACAGAAGGGGAGAGGGACAGTGAGAAAGGGGGGGAGAAAAAAAATCTCCTGGATCACCTGTTGAGAGAAGAAGAATAGAAAACAAGCAAAAAAAACCAAAGCAACATACTAAACACAACACCATCGCATTAATCTAGCTAAGTGTAAACAGCAGTAAATACTAAATATTCAATGTTGTTGTGCAGCACGCAGGACAGACAGCGCACAATGTGCTTTGAAGTAGCAGCCAAGAAAGGTGTAATTTAAGTCTACGAACAGTGAACACCCGTGTGCACACCTGTGTGGATCAGCACGCTTGTATTCAAATGGTTTCCACATGTAATGGTCTGCAAGAGGATGTAGAGAGCCATAGCCCCGTCCCCCAGGGCATGAAGCAGGCATGGAGGAGATCCAGGCCCCAGACATCCAGAGGCCCCAGAGTGCGAGAGCCCAAGGAGGACCAGAGGGGCATCCATGCCACCCTCATGGGAAGGGCTGAGGATCCCCAGACGAGGCGTCACCCAGTAGCCACCGAGCAGAAGCTAGAGGGGGCTGCACCGGCGTGCCCGCCGGCTCTGCCGGCAGCCAGCTGTGCCAGAGTGAACCGAGCTGCAGGCCCAGAGGCCGGAGGCCCGAGGGCCCCCCGCACCCCGGAGGAGGCCTGACCGAGCAACAGGCGCCAGGCCCCGCCAGGTAGCCACCGGGAGTGAGCCGGTACATACCTGAGTGCCCAGCCCCGGACACCAAGAACCACCAATGCACCGACCCCTGAGGGCATCAGTCACCGGCAGGGAGTGTGGTGAGGGGAGATAGGCCTTGGAGGGCCTGGGAGTTCCCAGAGAGGTGGAGTCTAAGACCCGACCTGACATATAGACACAGACAAACAGGCACACACAGACACAAACATGCATTCCCACCCTCATGCACACATATACAAACACTCAGCACTCACCCAACGTAAGGATTGACATAAATGGACATGTACACACAATCACACTCCCCAAACATACTCTATACCCCGGGTCCAGGTACCCTCGCCCCCAGAGGGGGAAACAGAACCCAGACCCAAGAGATGTTACCCTTCCCCCCGGGGTGGAGGCAAGCAGACCGTCCCAGGCTCCACAGCAGCAGGGAGGCCAATCGGACAGCCAACATCTCCTCCCAGCCCCCCCGCCCCGATGGCTAGCAGAGAACGGGGGTGTGAACTTTCATTCATTCTAAAAAAGTTGCTTTGAAGATGTCACCATCAAGTGATCAGGTGCAGACAGACAACATTTTTCTTATTACTCCTTGTTCCTCCTCCTTACTCATTTAAAGAATTGTGGGAGAAAGATAATACTAATACTAATAATGGATTGCATTTATGCAGCGCTTTTTGAGACCCTCAAAGCGCTTTACAATTCCACTATTCATTCACTCCACCGGCCTCCTCAGTTCCTAGATGTTTATAGTATTGTTGAAAGATGACTGGGGATAAAATAGTGGTAAACATGGCCCTGTTCTAACTTTTTTGAGATGTGTTGCTGCCATCCCACTCAGTGCTTTGATACATTTTAAAATGCTACATTTTCACAGTTTAAACATTTGATGCTTTTTATGTCTTGACCTTTTTGGAATTGGGGCTGTAGTTGTAGCATTTGTACTCTTTGAACTAAACTGCTTTAAAATTCAGTGAGTTATGATCATTTTAGCTGTTTCATCTCCATAGACTTACATGGATTAACAGGTCTGGATCCCCCTTAACAATACACAAGCAGTGTCATTCTTGTGAGAAGCACTGGCCACATGTATACATGTGGATACACTGTGTTCATACCAGACCAACTATGAAATTGGTGTTTGGGATTAACAATAGCATGTGCCATCCATTACTAATTGCTCACCTTGTACTGTTGAGGTCAGGTCTTATCTGTGTTCAAATCCTGCCTCTATGTGTTCATTGGCTGGCAGTAAACCCACCCATGACCCTGAACTTATCTATGTACAGCTGTAAGCAACTGATTGGTGGAGCATACTGTGTCTGCACCTTTCTGTTGTTTGTCTCTGCAGCTGCCCTTGCTCTCCTGGTCTGATGCCAGCAGCTCCTCCAGCATCATTTGAACTCTCGTGGCCACCGTAGAAACCACATCCCTCTTCAGCAGCTGTCCGCAAGAGAGGTTTCCGTGAGAAAATAATAAATTCTGTTTTCATTTCATTTGTGGGTCATTCTTTTTCTCAGATGTTGAACTTCATATCTTTTATCTGTAACGACCCTTATGTTAAAGAATTACCTTCTCTGCCAGTCTGGCCTTTGGCTTGTTGCTGTGTAGATAAGCTCTGCTGTGGATTGCTCCTGTTACTGACACGCTGCCGCCACACTGCTCAATCACATCTGTTAACCTCTTGTTTTCCTAACACAAAGGAAGACAAAATTTTATTTCATGGTCATGCACAAACTTCTCAAAACTTGACTTAGCTTTACTCCAGCAAATATGTATAATTTTAACAGAAATGTACCAAACACAAGCACATGTGTCCACTTATGGCTTCACTGCCACTACTTGTGTGACGTGTCATCTACCAATCACAAGGTCTGTGGTTCAATTACGTGCTACAGCAATCTACATGTCAAAGTACCATTGGGCAAGATACTTAACCTACTGGATCCATAGGTGGAAACCTACTGAAGTTTCCACCTATGGATCCATCGGAATGTGAGTGTATGTGCAAATGTTAGATATGGAGTTTAGGTACAGAAAAATGGGGGTATGAATGTGTGTGTGCTTGGGTGAATGAAGCTTGCAGTAAAAAAACAGTGCTTTAAGTGCTTAATTAGAGTAGAAAAGTGCGTCTCTTACCGTTGTGATGAGCAGCTGAGCTGTGTATGTCTGTCTCACATTCCTCCTCTAGAGAAAAACACTGGATGTCAGAATTTTATTGCTGCCTTTCAACAAAAAATCACTTGTTATTTATCATCAAGCCACAGCAGTCTATGTTGGAATTGATTTGTGCATAAAAGTGTGCAAATAATCGATCCTAAACCAGCAATCAAGCATTTATTCATTCATTCAAGTATCATAAACAACCTGTCCCACTGTGAGCTCCGAGTCCTCGGGTAGCCTTTTTCCATCAATCAGACACAGTCCGCTCTCAATCTGGTGTGCCCACGCTTTCAGTCCTTCCTGAAACAGAAAACCAAGTCAGAACTGTTCCCATGAAGAAAAAAAAAGGTCTCATGCACAAGTGTGTGTTCCAACCTTAAGGCATTCCTCCATATTTCCTGTGCTGGTTCTGTTGTTTGGTAGTGGTAGCAGCATGTCTACATTTAGACTGCATGACACGGTGGCCCAGGAGGAGCACAAACCCGACTGGTACTTCCAATCTGCAGGCTTAGCCACACTCTGGGAAAACATATAAACAACAACAACAGCAGCATTGTATGAAAGAGAACAGCACAACATATATCAAGACTGTTAACCTTGTGGCCTACATCTCACTTTAAAAGGTTTAATTCACAACCCCTGATAAATGTAACGTGGAAGGACTTTACCGCTGTGTTTGTGAAGTCAGAACATAATAGATTTCCTTGTTCAGTGAATAAGACTTATAACACCATACTGAAATAGTGTTCCAAAACTGTGAGATTACATGTTTTGGGAAAAGCAAAGAATGTTTTTTTTAAAAGGCAGTACACATTTGAGTAATATTTTAGAGCTGTGCAGATAGAAGCTGCTTTTCTGTAAGACATGAGAGATGCAAACTGACCTTGGGGTCTTTGATGTCAAAGGTTCTACAGACAGTTCTAGTCCACTGGGTTAAAGAACATCCACAAACACTGTATGGTAGCTACCTGAGCCAAAGGCAAAGCTGATGAAAAGGATACTTTCTGGTTTTGGGATTGATGTGCAGCGTGACACAGTCTGTGACATCATCATCTGCAGGGTCCCACAGGTGCTCAGAGGAGATCAGATTTTCCACTGCAAACAGCAGCTAGACACACACACACACGCTGCATGATGTTACCAATTTTTTACTTTTCTGTGGTTACATTTAATTTCACTCCTTTTGGAGTTGGGGATTATTCTAGCTGAAGTGCAAATGTCAAAGACAAATTGAAAGACTGTTTCCAGTGTATTAAAGTTAAGTTAAGCAAGCTCCTTATGGAGTTGTAGGGTTTTCAGGCAAACCTTTGTCATCAATGTTATTTAAGATATACTTGACTGGGTTTAGAGCTTTAATTAGTTCAACAACATCAGCTAAAAGAAAGTTTGCATTTTGGTAAAAAAAAAAAAAAAAGTTGAGATGATCACTGATGGTAGTGTTTTTGTGAGAAAGTTTCTAATAAACCTCTGAATTATTTTTATTTCTTTTATAGCTATATAAAGAACAAAATCGTGCTCCAACAATATTTCCACCATCAAACTGAATTAGCTCTTCACACACTTTGTGTTTAGTCTTGAACCACATGAAAGTCACATGATGTCTTCCATCTGAACAAGCTAAGCTAACCCTGTTAGCAAATTTTAATATTGAATAAAGCATTTTTTAACAAATCTGTGCTGAACTGTAAAGACTTATAGTGATTATTATCCATTCAACACTAAGACAAAACTGGTAAAAAAAAAATGCATCCATGGGAGAATGGCAAGGCAAAATCTATGACCAGAAAGAACACCAAGGCTTGCCTCACATTTCCAAAAAACATCTTGAAAATGTCCAAGACTTTTGAAAAAATATTTTGTAGCCTAATGAGAAAAAAACAAAACTCAGGTTTTTGGTAAGGTTTGATTCCCGTTACATCTGGCATAAAACTAACAGCATTTCATGAAAAGAAAATCTCACCAACAGTCAAACTTGGTGGTGGTAGTGTGATGGTTTTGAGCTACTTTGCTGCTTCAGTACTTAGAAAACTTGCCATAATTGATGGAACTGTGAATTCTGTTCTCTACCAGAAACTCCTGAAGGAGAACGTCTTCCCATCAGTCAGTACGCTGAAGCTCGAGATCACTTGTTATGATAATGTTCCAAAAAACATACCAGTTCTTGCTGCCACACGTAGCACATCCAGGTATTAGGTTTATGTGCAATTACTTTTTCACATCAGGCCAAGTACTGGAGGTTTGGAGGCAAGTTTCCTGCACTTAAATTGTCAAATTTTCTCCATGATTTTTCTTTTTTTTAAGCTTTGGAATTCACAGCTGGTGGAACTATCTATTTATGTGCAGCCACTTATGTGTTAACATTCATGGAAGTCACCACTACTGGAGCTTAGCAAGAGTGAAAGCATAAAGCACCAGGTGACAGACATATTAAAACATTTTATTTTAAATTTGACATATAGGCTGCACATTTTTTAGAATCACTTAAAACAATGATAAAAAAAAAAGAAGTAAATTGTAAAAAAAATTTACAATGCTCATTTTGATATATTAATTTTAGGTCAAAGCCACAGAGAGTAACTGGATTATGGGCAAAAAAGCTAAATGTGGCTCTAGAGCTGCAGGTTTGAGACCTCGTTTCTAATCACTTAAGTTGATTTTCGATTAAACTTCACACTACAAGCACATTACAAGAATTTCAAAATGATTTTGCTGGAAACAGTGTCAACATGACTCTCACCTGTCGGAGTGTAGTTAGTGCGTCCTTGGCATCTGCATTAGTGATGATGAAGACTCCCACTACAGAGAGGCCTCCGGGCAGCATCCTGGACACCTGGAAATCAATAGCAAACATGAACCCTAGCAGTGTGCAAGTCCGTCTACCTAGGTGCACAGCTCATTTCAAAGCACATTCCACTCCTCATTTAATACATGAGCATAATACATGCTGAAATCAAATCAGTTTGTGCTGGAAGAGAGGCATGGCCCTCTTTAACTACCTGTCGAGCATGCTCGGTGACCCACTCCTTGTCCACAGAGTTTCTAGCTGCTGCAGCAGACTCCTCCTTTTGGGGGGTCCGAATTGCCATGACAACAAAATCCCTTTGCGTTGAGCTCTGAAATATTTAGTCAGTAATATTGATTAATCTCTCTTCACTCCACACACAGCATGTTGATGTCCTATCGTATTGTGACATATGGTGCTCGCGTATTAATTTTAAAGCATGTCTACAGTACTGTGCAAAAGTCTTTAGCCACTCTTTGTTTCTTTAGATTTTGCCAGAAAAATTGGAAATAGGTCCAGTGATTTATGAAAATGTGCAAATATACATGGAAATACAGTATACAGGCTAAAACTCAGTTGTAATTCCAACTAGCTTGAAAGTCAATATTCAGCATGACCACCTTTATTCTTCAACACAGCATGAACTCTGTGTTAGGCAGCTTTCTAGTAATTTCTTTATGCAGTCTTCATGAACTGTTCTCTTGACTTTCTGCATTTTGTTTTTTTCTTTGTCAAGATGATTAAATTAAATTTTATTTATATAGGGCCAAATCACAAAAAAAATGCCTTGAGGCAATTTATATTGCAAGGTAAAGACCCTACAATAATACAGAGAAAACCCCAACAATCATATGACCCCTATGAGCAAGCACTTTAGTGAGAGTGCAACATTACTGACTGCAATGGAGAAGCAAACCATAACAGAGGCTCCGTCAATGTTTTACAGGTGGCTGTAGACAATTGTTGCTGCACCACTTTCCTGACTGTCTGAATACATATTGACAATTTGAACCAAAGATTTCAAATTTGGATTCATCACTCCATAAGACCTGCTGCCATGGATTTTCGGTCCAGTTCTTGGAAACATTGCTCTGAAAATGGTCACATACAGAGACTATACTGCAATAGACAGACCTTCAGAAAGTCTGAAGAACTGCAGCTCAAGACCATGATAAAAGATGACAAGAATGTTTGGATCTTTGGAAATAAAACATAGAAAATGGGGGTGGCAGAATATTTCTGCACAGTACTATATGTAGTGCATTTAATTAATTTCCATCTAATCTTTTAGAACATAGAATCGTTTTCATCATTTCACAGCTCACATAAAACTGAGTAACTCTGGACTCCATCCTGAAAGGATTTTAGTATTTTTCAACTATTTTCTGATATTATATGGACAGAAGGGCTAAGGGACAGATTCACTTTCTTTTCTTTTTTTCTCATTTCTCTTCTTAAGTTTAACACAATTGACAAACGTATTGGAATACTATTCAAAGTATTTGTGACTGTTACTTGCTTCTAAAAAGGACTTTGGTTGTAGCCCTGATTCAATATCTTGAACATATTTTACATATGCCACCGCTAGACACACTCTTTGCATATAAAAAAAAATGGTATAATGAATGCAAAGTTCTAAAGCCTCTGTTTTTACACATGGCCTAATACACGACAGATGTTAGTATACACAGGTACCTGTCCAATTAGCAGTCCTGTGACTGGGTCTGCCTTTTGTTCACAGAGTTTCGACAGATATCCCTCCACATCATCTTGGACTATATATCCACGACCCATTATTTCTGACAGGGAAATGAAGAGGTGATGAAAACATTGCACTTTATCCAAGAGCTTCTGTAAATAAACAGTTCACGGAAAAGAGATGTGGAGCACTACAACAAGTGAGTGTTTCTAATCTATAAATACGGTTGAATTAAAAGCAGTAAATATGCAGTCGCTCATTGATTATTTACAGCTGTTTGCCCCTCTAACTTTAGCTAGCTCATATTTTAGCTACATTTCATTAAAATAACAGTTCAGGTTCACTATAAAATACAGCGTGGACGTCATAAGCTTCCACGTACCATGGAAAATATTCAAAAGAAGTAAAACAGTTGCTAAAACCTCAACCAAAAAAGCAGGCAATTTTGACAGGTCTAGTGGTTCGTCAGCAGACCAAAAAAAAATGCATTGACAGATTTCCGTCGCACGTCTGTGTCGTAATAGGTGACTCGGGATGGAAATGGTCAGCATACCAAAGCAAACTAGCGCTGAGAGTTTTTCTTCAAAATAAAATTTGCTGCAATAAGAGCCAAGTAGGCTTGGAGGCAAGACCAGATAAATACATTGTAGCTGCCCATATACATTAAATTAACAATTTAACTTTTATATTCGAAGAGCGTATATCGATTCATCGCATCTCAGCTTTAATAAGTAGTTTTCATTTACCTCGTCTAACTTCATTACCTTACTTTGAAAGTATGAAGCAAACTTCCTGCCTGTGTACGCGTCTAATTTGACATTTTTTAGTTGTTAGTTTGGTTGTAGACGGTGCACAGATTAAGATTATTTTACAAGAGTTTACCGTTATTCTTCGGGACGAGTAGGCAGCGATGGCGGTCGTCCTGCTTCAGGCTCTGGAGCGGACGGAGCTGAATAAGCTCCCGAAAGGCATCCAGAACAAGTTGGAGAAGTTTGTAACGGAGCTGCAGAATGCTAACGAGGTGCTCCAGACGCAACATGAGCGATTCAAAGCAGACAGCGGTGGGTACCTAGAACAAGTCCGTATTGGTTAGCTATTTAGCGTTTAACTTGCTTTTGTTGCTTGCTAGATTCGAGTATTCTAGTATTTAGAGTACTCACTCTGTTTGGGTATAAAACATGTTGTATGTGTTTCGCTACCCTTACTCCTGCACGCTAACGTTAGCTGCGCTATCAAGCTATGGCTAATTTTGGCGGAAGGGAGATGTGTCCAGTTGTTGAAGTTATTTTATTATTAAGTAGTGATGTGTAGTGTGTTGAAATAAAAAACAGTTCCCAAATTATTGAAAAACATCTTGTACCAGCCTGTGTTTTTATGCTGTCGCCATTAACCAAATGCACACAATGTTACTGTAAATTCGAATAGAGTTGGCACTACCTTTTATCAGTACTGAAAAGGGGATTTTGTCAAATTATAAGTTAATAAATATATATATATATATATATATATATAATCAGCATTGCAGATCTCTGTGTTTGTGACCGGACAAGTACTAAAGTGTATATTTCTTGTGTACACCTGTGTTCCTGTTGACTGTTGCCCCATATAGAGCAACAGTACTTTGACATGGAGAAGAGATTGGCGGAGAGTCAGGAACAGATCTTGTCTGCTACCAAAGATCTGCAGACCCTCAAGGAGGAAAATAAAAAGCTCAGTAAGTCATCATATGCATATCAGCCGGTGTCTTTATTCTACATGTTGTCTATATCAGCACAGAACTTAATTGTACAGTCCACTTTGGAAAAAAAAATACATTGATGTTTAATGATACACTGATTGTGAAATTCTGGGAAAACAGGATTATAAAAAAATGTAGGTTGAAATCAGATGCTGATATGTTATTCCATTTGTTTAGTTTCTTTTTAAAAATTTTTTTGTTGTTTCAGATCAAATAGATCTTTAGTAACTGAACAGTTTTAACAATATTTTGTTTTTATTCACTCAAATTTCCCATTTTTCCTAGAAAAATATAAATAACCGAGGGGTGGCTTGAAACGTTTGCACAGTATTATAAGGCTGATAACAAGTGATATTGGTTTTAGCCAATGCTGATATTCTGCTGTTATAGATGACCATCCTTGTTGATGTTCTATATTATAGGCCTAAACAAGGCCTGTTTAGTTTATAACACTGGCTGAAATGTTTCTGCAAAGACACTCTCAGTTAGACATTTCAGAGGTTACAGCTGCTAATGGCACCTGATTTGGGTGTGAGGGTTATTAAAAGAAATCTAGTGTAATTCATTGTACAGTCTTTTTATGCTTTACCAGAGACTGTTTTTAAATGAATCATGAGGTTTTAGTGTAGTCTAGCACTGTTTTTCTTGATCTCGTGATGCCATGGGTTGTAATGTTTCTCTCATCAGATGAAGAGTTGAGCGCTCTAAAGGGAATAGAAGGAGAGAGCACCGAAGATAAACCATCGCAACAGGTAAACATGCCGATAAGGGCTTCATATTGACATAACTTAAAAGCTGTGTTGATACAATTATGCTTCATTTATCGGTGCTACACCTAGCTAAATCTTTGAACATGGTTAGTGTTTACTGCCATGTTGTGCGAGTACATAGCATGATATCACTGGGTGGGTTGGTTGGTTGCTGCTAGTAGACAATGATTGTTAATCTGTTACTGATAAATTGATAAACTGCAGTGAAAAAATAGCCAGAAATGCACAGGAGGAATCGATGGTACAGAACAGGCCAATCACAGTAGTCATGGGCTGTGCTGACTTGACGTATAGTTACATTTCTAGGGAGGTGAGGTCTGAGGGATTTCCCACTGAAGCATATATCCTAGAATTTTATGCTGTAGTGGACTCACCAAAAATATAAACTCTATTCTAAAATCAACATCTTTAAGCTTGGTAATGGTAGCATCATAGTCTTTTGAGATTATTTAACAGAAAAAGGATTATTGTACTTGTAAATATACATTGATTAGTGTGTAATTACATCTTCTAAGTAATTACTGCATTCTCATAAACTCAGAAGTGATCTATTAAAAACGCATAGGAGCAGGCACTAGTTATTAGGAGCTACCATGTGTTTCCCTCCATCTTGGATATAGTACTCACGATGGACACTGTTGCCTTGGGTTTTATGTATGTGCTAGAGACTGGTCTGGAGAAGAGAACTGTGGTGTCTGATATGGAGGCAAATTATAATTCCTTTTCTGCATTTTCAGACTAAACAGTTTATTCTTATATTGTGTCTGAGTTTTGTCACCAAGTGTCAGAGTCCAGCAATGTTAGAGCCTCTTCAAATAAAGCTTCACTATAACTGGCTAAGAGTAACTAGCACATGTAAAAACAGCAGCGCTTACCAGGATATTCTCAACAACTCACGTCAGTATCACTGTCATTGGTCACAAGTGAGCTTTCCTGACTTACTGGCTTGTATCGGGTTCCTTTCACAATTTTTGCATACTCCTCCAGAGTGAAGAGTCTGTACTAATTCTGTCAAGAAGAGTGGTGAAATATTCATCCAGAGTTATACCAGAAGCTCTTGTTGATGACTACCAAAATTGTCCGCTTGAGGTGCATCTTGCTAAGAGACATTTAACCAAGTATTAGTGAGGATGTACGCATGTGTTTGAGTCTGTATGTTTTTGACCCTGTGTGAATTAGTGAAAAACCATTACCTCAGGTAATAAAAAAAGAGACCTTTTACTCATCATTAACACAGATTAACACAGAAATTCCTTTAGAAGTCTGCTGAAGATACCGGATAATTGTTACACATTTCAATTTTCTGCACACTCTCAGTGTAGTAGTATAATTCAAGTACTGTTTGTGCACGTATGTATGGATCCAGCAAACCAAGACCAAGTATGAGATTGAGGCAGAGAAGAGAGAGCTGGAGCGGTTGCTAGAGAAGAGAACACAGGAGGTGGAGAATGTCTCTGGTAAGTTCACTACACAAGCTATACACCTCGATAAATTGTGCATGTTTGGTTCAGTGGAAACCTGTTAACGCTTCTTTTTGTGGTCTGTGGATTTGTCTTTGCAGAGGATGTGAAACGTCTCAATGAGAAACTGACAGACTCAAACAAAGTGAAGATGGAACTGCAGTTAAAACTGGACGAGATACAGTCGTCTGCAGCATCTGTACAGGTGCGCTACACACACAAACAAACACACACACCAACAGGTTCACCTTATGTTAAACACACCAAATAAACTACACAATAAGCAGGTGAGAAGCATAATATTACACACAAACAGATGCTTTGCTTTAATCTCTGTTTCAGATGTTTGCTTAAACTGCAGTCTGCCAAGAACAGCAGCTGCACTTGCAAGATGGGCTTGGAGTCGTCTTGCAAGGGCTTGAGGCTAAAATGACTGATCACAATAATCATTATTTTTGACTTAATCGAGAAGGCCTGCAGTCCTGCAGAGAAAGTGCTTACTGGCACTGAGTTCTACTTGTGGAAGCCAGACAAGGGACAGCCTTTTAGAAGACAGTGACCTTTTAGTTGGACAGTCTTAAAGGGATAGAAAATGAAACTGTTTCTTTCAGACAAGAAGTGTTGAGGCCTGTTCAGGTTGAACAAAGATTGCGAATTATTTATTTTTGAGCTTATAGTAAAAACCATAATTGGTCCCCCTTTAAAATGCCATTTTTTTCTCTGGAAATATTTTGTGGCGTGAAGAGAGAAGTGTTACTGGAAATGTATCTTACAGCACCGGGAGAAGCGCATGGAGCAGGAGAAGGAGCTGCTTGAGAAGAAGATCGAGTGGTTGACTGCAGAGCTAAAGACCAAAACTGAGGAACTGCTGAACACCAACAGAGAGAAAGGCGAAGAGATCCTGGAGCTGCAGAGCAGTCTGAAGAGCAGCGAGCAGAAGGTAAGATTGATACAGTACTGTATTTACATTCAGTACTGTATAAACTGAATGTAAATTCCCTGTTGGTTTTAATCTCTTTTATTATCAGTAGTTGTGGAATATGTAGGGTTAATTAGCTATTCTAGCTACAGCGCTAACGTCTTTATTAACAATATTTCCTTTCCACAGGTGGCTGTACTGGAAAGTCAACTCACTGTTCTGAAGGAAACCGGTGAAAGTCAGAATAAAAGAGCTGAAGACCTCAACAACAAACTGAAACAGGTAACACAGAAACACTTGTGTAGGGCTGCAGCATTTGATTATTTTAGTAATTGATTAATTGGATAAGAAATACTTGTGACTTCTTAATGAGCAATAATAAATATTCAAAAGAGAAAAAAATAAAGGTCTTTCAAAATGAACTGTTCATTGGTTTCCATTTTAGAAACTGCATTGTTTTTGTTTTGTCCGTCATCTGTTTCATTTGTCCAAAAAAACACCAAAAAACTCCTGTTTTTATGCGTCATATTCAATTTTAGTTTTTAGAGAAAACATTTTCTTAAATGCAAAAATGTATAAATGCTATCAAGTAGAGTCAAAGTTAAATAAGATAAATGTGTGATAAGTCATAAAA